GAATGCTGTCTGGCATAGAGTAGACACTCAATAAACATTTATGATTTCATTACCTTTCTGTAGAAATAAACATAAAAGAAATATAAAACACTAAGAATAGGACTGTATAAATATAATTGGGGCACAATTATTTTTAAGGAATGGGAAAAAGAAAAGGTTCCAAAAAGGAGAATGAGAAAATGTCAAAGAAGAGGGAGAGACCCAGGAAAGAGAAACTTCTTAGACGTATAGGAGGGAGCACAATAACATGTAGGGAAGAAAACAACAGAAATCCAGCATATGTGTTAGTAGCAAATTATAAAGAAGAAAACTTATATCAAGTGCAAATTAGTTCATTTCTGGACTATATAACCTAAATGTGTATATTATGTACTATAAACTAACTTTAGAGACCATAAAATTTCAATCTGGCTGTTATTTAACATTTACATTTGCAAATTACTCAAAAATATTCTTTATATTTGACACTGTAATCGTGAAGAGACAGTTTCATTTTATCCCAATTAGTTAATAAAAAACAAGACCGGAAAAGACATATAACAAGCTGGAGTTCCCACAAAATAGAAATCCCACACAATTGAAAATATTATTGTTACATATCTTTTCATTACATCATTTTTAAATGACAAGAGGCTTTTGTCCTAAGGTGTTTGTAACCTATCAGAAAACCATCCCCACTCCCACTCCCTGTCAATATAAGTACTCTCTAACCTGAGGGGTCCCCAATACCTCTTCCTCTTGGAATGCACTTGGGATGCTTTCTACTCACATCTATTTCTCAATCCCAAGGGGACCACAGCATGTTGAAAATACTTCTCCAAGATGCAGCATCCTTGGCCAGAAACTAAATTAAATCAAATAAGTATCCAGCGAACGTAAAAGACATTTGGTAGGCATCTGCTAAGAATCACAGAAACAACAGTTTGAAAACCCCTAAAAATTATCTAGTCCCCAAGAACCCAAGCCTCACTGTTTAGCAGAATCACCTGAATAGTTATTTTCTATCAGCACTTCCCAACTTTTTTCCTATCCACTTGTATCAGATTCTAAGGAGCCCCCCAAAAGGCTGCTCATGGCTAAGGCACCTGGCCGGGGGCACTGGTCTCCTGAGTACTAAAGCATCAATATCTCAAGCCACACCTGTAGCTCTGTGCAATGAAGGGTTAATCCAGCAGAAACCCAGCAGATTTCCCAAACACTGTACTTTCCCAAAATATGGACTGGCCTTTGACTGGCTCCTGGGACAAACCCTTGGAGCCCTCAGATTACCCTATCTGATAGTATTTCTATATGCCCAATGCCCTGGGCCATGCTGTATCAGTTTGATCTCTAGGGGAAGGGGACTGGAGGCCTAAAGAGCTAAGGTCAGTCACTCAGGTGCTGAATGCCTAAGTTACTGACCCTCAGCAAAAACCTAGACACCAAGGTTTGGGTGAGTTTATCTGGTTTGCACATGTTTTCACACATTGATGTTGGAATAATTAAATACATTCCCATGCAATTCCAACTGAGAGGGGGCACCTGGAAGCTTGCACTTGGTTTCTCCTGGACTTTGCCCTATGCACCTTCATACTTTGCTGATGCTAATGTTTGTCCTTTCGCAACAAATTGTAACCATGAGTATAAAACCAAAGCCAGCGGGAGATATGTGTACCTACTACACATTACTGAGTTTTGTCCATAGAAACTAAATCTATGGTAAGATTAGTGTTATAGTCCCAAATTCTGCACACTTCAGATGGAGACCATTACATGCACTCTATACTCATTTGATAATAATCCCCCTATCCTTTTCCTTGCATATTGTAAATTTATACTTTTCAGATTTGCCAAGTTCCCCCTCAGTGGAAATCCAGTGTATGATATGAAAATCAGCAGTAACTACCAGTAAAAATTACTCTACCAAAATATAAGAAAATATTCTCTCTTCCCTTATGAGTGTATGAAAGCAGCCATTCTGCTTCGAAAAATTATCCTATAGATTTTTTTTTCTAGCAAAAGAATTCTCTAAGACATCTGGTCTTCAGAGACTGTTGCTCTGGCCCATGAACTTGTCCATTAGCCTTAAAAGATACAGTAATTATAACTGATTATTTATTCAGTATCTTGTTGCCATGACAATAATACTGAAATCAATTTCTATTTTCTGGTAGGTAAGCAGTAGTCCCTCCTTATCCTTGGTTTGACTTTCCATGATTTCAGTTACCACGGCCAACCCAGGTCCAAAAATAGTAAATGAAAAATTCCAGAAATACACTATTAATAAGCTTGAAATTACATACCACTCTGAGTAGACTGATGAAATATACTCTAGACATGAATTATCCCTTTGTCCAGTGTATGCACCCTGTATATACCACTGTTACAGGGATTCTGTGTCTGTTACCAGAATTCTGTTCTGCATTCTTGACTTTGCTTCAGGAAAGAATTCCAGAGCAAGTCAAAAGTAGCAGGGCAGTTAGAAAGTTTATTAAAAGTGAAAGCAACAATAGCACACACTTCAGGCTGAAGTGCAGGCAAACCCAAGGAAGTGTCCCACCGGGGGTCTCTGGCCTGTTGGTTTTGCGAGCTACAATAACGAAAGGGTGGAGTATTCTATTAAAGGGATAGATTTTTCTAAGAGATGGGTGAGTAATTCCTGGAATCGGAGTGCCACCCAACTTATTACTATACATGGATAGGGTCAGAATTGTCATGGTGCTAGGGGGTGTGTCATTTAGTATGCGAATAAGCATATAATGAAAATAAAGGTTAAAGTAAGTCAACTTGGTTATCTGTGCGCATGCCCAGAGGGATTCCCCAACTGTGCCCTGTCTGGTGGTCAGCTTTCAGTCACAAACATCCTAAGTAGTCTGCAGTAGATCTGTTGGAAGAGAGTTATTCTAATACTTTTTTTTGGTGGGGTTTTTTGTTTTGTTTTGTTTGTTTGTTTTTTTACATTCTAGCAGCCTTGAAACTGGGCAGGTGTGTAAGAGTTTTCACTGGTTTCAGAATTTCCCTACAGCCTCCTACAGCCCTGATATTTCCCTACTCTAACCTGCCTACTCTACCACTACTGGTCCTTAGTCACTTAGTTGCCTCTCTTGGTTATCAGATTGACTCTCACAGTGCTTGTACGCAAGTAACCTTTATTTTATTTAACTATCCCAGAGGGCAAGAGTAGTGATGCTAGAAATTCATGTGTCAAAGAAAAGCTATAAAGTGCTTCTGAGAGGACAGTAATAGAGGACAGTAATAGAGTATACCATAGACTTAGGTTAAGAGCATGATATAACCCAATAAATATGTAATCGGCTTGTGGACAATAGCACAGTCATTTTTAGTTTTCTGTCTTAAAGCATAACCTGTAACTGTTTAAAGTTTCAGTTATGGGAAAAAACTGCAAAGCTCCAGTTACAAGCTTCAACCCCTTCCCTTATCTCACTTTCCCCTTAGCAACATCCAATCAGGTGCCGGGGGTAATCACCTAAGTTTCCAGATGTCTCTGCAGCTTCCCTAGCTAGTGGACCAAGGTCAGCCCGAGTCAGGCTAGCCAATCCTCCACGATTAAGCTGACCACCAGAGGTTACTACCCAATTAAATGGTAACACAACTGGAAAGTCCCCCCAAACTCCTCCTCCCTTTGTGTAAAAGCATAAAAGGCACCTGCTTAAGGAAATCAGTGCCTCTGAATGTACTCCACTGTGTCGGTTGTCGACAGAGGTCCAGGCTCGAGCTTGTAAATAAAGACCCTCTTGAACTTTCATCAGAATTGGCTCTTGGTGGTCTCTCGGATTGAACTTTCAGCCACTACACTTCCTTTAAATGAAACAGTGAAAGAATAGGAAAAAACATAGTATATACTGGGTCAGTACCATCTGTGGTTTCAGGCATCCACCGGGGATCTTGGAGCGTATTCCCCACGGATAAAGGGGGGCTAATGTAAAAAAAATTTTTTTTCATCATCAGGAGAAGAGTGGATCCCAAGACATTTCCCTCTTCTTCTTCTTGCATGGAGGCGGTAAAACTTGTGACTGCTTATTTTCTTAAACAAAAGGGCTGAAGTCTTGGGACATGCCGATGAACACTCCTGGCACAGGATGTTGTGGAGCTTAGCAGCTCAACTGGTATCCTGCCACAGGAACTCTCACCTCTGCCCAACAGATTAGTTTCTATTTCCCCACCAAGGCAGGCCCAGCCTCTCCTCTTTCAGATAAGGGCGGGGCCAGACAAGCTTTAGCCACTGCCCCCATCTTCTCCTAGATGCTTGGCTCTGAACCACCACCACCAGTCCCTCCCCCCCGCCACCCCATTAGTAGGGAAATGCGGGAAGCTGTGGCTGAAGTCCACCATCAAGCCTCCTCTCCCTCCTGCACTTGTCCTAAAATGTTTTCTTTGGACTCCTACGAGGATCCAGGGGAGCTCTCGTTAGCCACTTTGCGGGGGTTACAGGACTTCGTGGGCTACCTTGGAACCTGCCCATCTTGTCGGACTTTGCTACTGTTTCCTGACTGACATTCCAAGTCAGGGGCTTATAGACAAGCCTCTGGAACACAGCCTCTTGTAACAGACTGGACACTAACCCTAAGTGTCCCTAGGCCTCCCTTGACTCCACCTTCAGGAGCCTAAGTACCCGATTTGGTCGTTTTCACCCAAAGTCCTTCGTGCTCCTGAACCGTGAGTCAGTTTTACTAGGCTTGGTTTGGTGAGATTTAGGCCGTGCTGCCTTGCCTCTCCCTCTTCCCTAACTCGGCCGCTCCTTCCCGTTTGCCCCTGCTCGACTCCCGTCCGAGCCTCCCAGCTCCCGGGTCCGCCACGGCCGGCTGTCGTTGGAAGTTTTTCCTGAGAGTCGACAAATCAAACCTCCCCCGAGCGGGATAGAAGCTCAGCCCGCTGCGCCCAGATCCGGGGCGCTGGCGGCCGCCGCGCCCGGCCCTCGCCACAGCCGGGTCCGAGAAGCCGCGGGGACCTGGGGGAGGGGGTTGGAGGGCCTGCGCACAGACGCGCGGGAGACTCATTACCTGCCGGTGCTCCTCCTCCGCAGCGCGTCTCCCTCTGGAGTAAGTAGCAGAGCCTCCCCAGTCCAGAGCAGAGACCTTGATCTCGCAGAGTCCTGTCCTTATGTATCAGCTGAGTTCGGCGACACCTCGCGGGGCGGGGCATCGCGCAGGAAACAGAGGGACGGCCCAACGACATCGTCTGCGTGGACTGGGAACCCCACTCCTGCAAAGATAACAGCCTTGGTTAACTTTGGGTCGATAGGGGAGGATTTGGGGAGGAGGGGCTTCTTGGTTGTTGCTCTGATTTTATTATTATTATTATTATTAATTATTATTATTATTATCTTGAAACTTGCAGTTCTCAGCCCACCCAGGTAAGGAGACCTGGGCGCAACCCCACGCCCTCCAATCCTCCCGGCCCCGCTCCGGCCCAGGGATGCCCCAGGCTGGGGGCGGGGATGAGGGCGCCCTCCCCGGGATGCCCCATGCTGGGGGCGGCGTGAGGGGGTGTTTCGCAGATCTCTCCCCTCAGCGCCTCCAGGTCCCCCATTCTTGCTCGAATTACTCCATCAACTGATCTGGCTCTCCCCTGAAGCTGGGGGAGAGGGAGTTAGTAAGTGGGGGTACTAGGCGGAGGGGGAAGCAAAAAATTAACCCTCCGCATTCGCCCCCCCTTCCCCGATAATTCGAGAATGTTGATTCCGCCTCCTTTCCTAGGGTGCTTTACATTGTAAAGGGGTGGTGCCTACGGAGGGCTCCAACAGAGACCCGCAGCCTAGGTGTGACCGCTGTTGTGCACCCTGGTGTGCGTTTTTGCCACGGGGGAAAAAATGCTGTGTGGATTCAGAGCCCAATAGCAGACTTCACGACACCCAGGTCCTTGGCGGAACTGTCAAACACGTACTGGGCGCTCGCGAGGGGCCCGGCTCTGCCACCCCAGGCCCTCCAGACCTGCCTGAGCGTGTAGAGCGCGCTGCGACCCCGCGATGGCGCGTTGGGCGGG